TTTTTAGCAACATACTTATGACCAGATTACCCCTTATACCCAGACAAGAAGGTCCTTTAACTTGGTGGAAGCTTAGCCGCAAAGAATTTCCAAATTTGTTTGCATGGGCAATGAACTCAAAAAAAGTGTTTAGTGCATCGGGTAGCATATATCTTGAAAATAGAAATAGGTTGTTGCCCGATAATGCGGAAATGCTTCTTTTCTAATGGAAAGTAAATAAACTTTTAACTCTTATTATTAAATTAAATTTGATTACGAAAATACAAAGCAAAAAGTCTGAACTAGAACGGAAATCCGGCCGGATACAGGCTAAACAAAACAGTCAGATAACAGAAAAACGGCCGGATAAGCCGGATTCTGGATATCTTCCGAATACCCTAATGAAAAGATAAGGCGCGCTCCTGATGTTCACACTCGCTGCAATTATAACGAGTTTATTTATTTATTTATTTAACAATCAGTCTATGAAAGCATAATTTCTTACATTTAACAATCAAGCTTAAACTAGGGCATCAAATTAAGAATATTGATAAAAATTGACTTAGGTAGAGAAAAATCTAGGTCGATAGAAGTTGAGATCTGGTTAAATTCGCAAATTGCACGGCCAATGGGTGCATTACGGGCATAATTCGTTCTGAAATATTCAGCATAAAAAGGCAGGGAAGCACGCAGATACCTCCTCGGTACATTAAAATTTATTCTACCCAAAAGCTGCGGACAGTCACAAGATCCTTGGATAATGCAAAAAATGAAAGTTAGAGACAAAGTTGACCTTCTTTTATCTAACGATTTTAGATTGAGCAGCGATAAGCGCGCATTATATGAGGGTATGGGCTCAGAAAAGCGTAGTGATCGTAAGGCAAATTTGAGAAACAGTTTCTGAACGCGTTCAATCCTATTGATATGGAACTGGTGGAACGGACGCCAGATTATTGCTGCATACTCCAGGTGAGAACGTACGAAAGAGGTATATAGCAGTTTTAAAGTGTACGGATCGGAAAATTCAGTGCTATTCCGCCGCACAAAGCCAAGCATAGCATATGCTTTCGATATAATAAAATTAATATGGCTGCTAAATGAAAATTTGCTGTCAAAGATAACACCAAGGTCCTTGATTTCGTTAACTGACTGCAGACTACACTCAGATAAACTATACCGAGTTATTAATAAATTTCGC